CCTATTGCGTAAGAGGCCGAGTGGACCCCACATCTGGTCAGGATGCAGTGAGCAAGTGAATAGTGTCTGAACCAGCTCGGAATCGAACCTCTCTCTTACAGTTCAAAGCCTATTCAGTATACCGACACTGACCTTGTAATAAGATATAAAAAGTACCCTGAGCGGGAAAGCAGAAGACTCTAAATACCGTCAAGTTTAGGTGAGTTTCTGCGTGACTTAAAAGACGGGGTTTGGATTAGATTATTGGATTTATTGTAACCTTATTCACACAATTAGGGACTACAGGCAATACAGCGCTATTGCCGATCTACACACTTCACAGTCCACCGTTACACACACTAGGGTTCTCGCTTAGTGGGGGGTTGAGTCCAACTGGGTCCACTCGGCACGGCGGCTACTGATTGGCCTATTGTAGCCTGCCCCGGGTGATTAAGATGATGGAGAATTTGGTGGAATGAAGATTGGCAGGGGAAACCGAAGTACTCGGAGATAACTTGTCCCAGTGTCACTTTGCCCACCACAAATCCCACTTGACCAGACCCGGGATCGAAACCGGGCCTCCGCGGTGGGAAGCCAGCGACTAACCGCTTGAGTTATGGCCCGGCCTCCACTCCAATTAAGTCAAATTGATGTCATACTAGTAAACGGCACTTGAAAAATTCATCTCTCGAATTGCACAACGCAACAGTATAATATCCTACTCCTCAAAGTTATTTCTGTGAGAACCTTAATTCGAATATTTCTGCTTCATTGCTATACATACTTCGTGGCGGTTTGCTTACCTATGCCATCTGTTGACTATATGCGACACTAATTTCTCCGGCCGCTTCGTCTTCTGTAATCTTCACGTTCTCTACGAATGTCGAGGTTACCTCGGCCATACGAGCATCCGTCACATGCTATTTTTTTCTATCAAATGGCTGTTGCGTATCCCCGACCTAGGGTATTTAACAGCTATCTCCTACCCGTCGGAAATGTCCTAATAACCAGATTACAATCACTAAAGTACTGTGTATATCAACATTGCTGTTTCAGCATTTTACCCTCGGACTGCCCAACAGTGAATCAAGTCTGTCCTGTATATACCTGTCTGTTCCGTGCTTCACCACTCCATCGACATATATTTTTGGGCCCGGCTGTTCCAAACCCCCATTATGGCCGTAGGGGCATAACAAGATAAAATCCATTAAAATTTCCATTAAACCCATTAGAACTGCATAATGAGAAGCTTCGTAACTCACGCTCTTCACCAAGAATGAACAAGTCAAGGAGGATGAGATTGGCAGGGCATGTAGAACGAATAGTGGAGAAGAGGAATGCATATTAGCACTATTAGTAGCTTAACCACATTTGTCACGTTAACTGAAGAAGAACGATTTCTAACTTCTGAGGTAATATGTTCTGTTTTTATTGGGCTATTTTATGGGCAAGAAAAGTTGGGATGTCTTCCACTATTGATTCTGCTAGAATGTTGCATGGCTTCATATTATGTTATATCATTAGTTCTGTTGCATTATTCCATTCAACATTAAACTTGTAAACGCGAGTATATTTCTTATTCAAAAGGTTTGTCATAGATCTGCAATTATTTTGTTGCTTTTCATATATTATTAACTTAAGTATTTATTTTAAACAAAGGTGTGTTTAAGATTCTTAAGTTTTATTATACTGCTGCAATTAATAATGTGTGGAAGCCCTAGTGTTACTGCTTGCTATACATAATTTATAATACATTAATGTAACGGAAAATTGTGCTTTATGTAGCTTCTAAATGTAAGTTTCGAACTAAATTATAAGGTTGATACAAGTACCTCTGAGGAAAACACAAGTTTCATTTAAGTTGACAGAATTTCCTGGCTACAGGTTGGACAACTGAGGGGTTGGAGTTTGAGTCCCAGTAGGGCCAAGAATTTTCACTTCTCCATCTCCCAACTGGCTCTGGGGCCCATCCAGCCGTTTATTCAATGGGTACCAGGGACTTTCCCCAGGGTAAAGCACCCAGGATGTAAGGCTCATCACTCACCTCCAACTAGTGCCGAGATCAAGAAAACTTGGGTCTATGCAACCACTCCCTCATAGGTCTTCATAGCATAGTGCTTAATTAGTTAAGGATAGAGAGAACTTATCTTTACACAACTACAGCTTTCCTAAACACTTCTGAATATGTCTTATGTGTATGTTATAGTTCATAATGTTCAATGTATTTCAGTAAGGGTACGTTGGATTGATGTAAATGAAATGTTCACTACTGAGAAACTTTCTCCTGATAGATGAGTAAAGTGATATTACCTGAACAATATGATATTATATATACACACACAGTGAAGAAGGGGGATGGAATGAAATCTTTGCTACACTTAGCACGCCACTGTATAAGGTCAGGAAACCACTGCCATAAACTCCAAACTTGCAAAAGGAGTCAGTCGACTCTAATCCTGGTGGTTGGTAGTGTGGAACTACTGGTTGCACATTGGCAGGGTCAGTTAGTATTCTTGCCAGTTTTCTCTCTGGGTCAGATGTAGCAATTGTCATTGACTGTCCCTCACTTTAAAATTATGAAGGCCTTTTAGAATGTAATATGTGTTTTTGAACATTCTATAGAGGATGAAGAAGAGTCCACCTTTGTTAAGTGAGAGGGTCATGTGTGTACTGAGAATGCAAGAAAACCAGCCACAGAAGGACAGCATTTCGAGCTCATACCTGTTGCATCTATTATGAAATAACTAAGCGTCTGTATATGAAAGGGAACCAGGAGGCAGTTTAGATTTTGAGGAAATTAAATAAGAGATAGAGGAATAAATTTTTGTGCAAGAAAGTGATGTGTGTGTTGGGGATATTGGAACACATAGGTAAGTTGTGAAAATGTTGATGGAACATGTTCTTCTATTACTTCTGTTTTGTGTTTATACATACAGTAACTTAAACGTCCTAATAAACAAGGATCCATGGATTGCATATTATCTGTCTGTAGATAAGAGCCTCAAAATGTGTCAGAAAGACATAGCATTGACATTCAGTCTATCCATTTAATAACCTTTCCTTCCCTTGAATGATAAGACACAATATTTTTAGCTTTAATTTGAAATTTTAAGGAAGATAGAAATCTTATTTCTTCAGGTGAAAACATGGCAGCAAACAATGCAGTGATGAGGAAGATCAAATGAAAGGTATTCTAACTTTAGGTACTGATTTACTCCCATAGAGTAGATTTGCTTTTGAACCATTGGCAATAATTCAGTTGGCCAAGAAATTCTGTATCTGTGAGCTGATGTTCGCCACAAAATTCATCTCAATACAAGATGTCACTTGTGAGACCTAAGCATGTGTGAAAGTACAGTATTAAAACAAATTTTAGAGGAAAATCCATAGAACTAAATTGAAGTAGCCAACAATAAGGGATGATGGGAGACTTCACCATTAATGAAGAAGAACCATGGCTTCTGTTGCTACAAAGATAGTTGTCAAGTCAGATTAGGTTGGTTTGTCAAATAGGTAGTATTGATGTCACCACTGTGGCATAGACATGACAACCCTCAAACCAGCCTTCATAAGAATCGGTCTGAACTGATAGTTATTTGTTCTGCTGTATATATGAGTATACTAAGTGTTTAGACAGGCGGCCCGGGTTCAATCTCGGGTCTGGTCAAGTGGGATTTGTGGTGGACAGGGGCAGGTTTTCTCCGAGTACTTCGGTTTCCCCTGCCAATCTTCATTCCACCAATTGCTCCACAATCACCCTCACCTATCATCTGGGGCTGGTACAATAGGCCAGAAGTGGCCGCAGTACAAGGGACTTACTCCCACCCCACTAGCAATAAAGAAAAAGTGTTTAGACATATGGTATGTGGTGGGGGGATGGTAATGTATTTCACAATAAAATATTATGTATACCACACAACTCCAGAAACAGATATAGCAACAAATTTATAAATACATTACAACTCATTTTTCAGAAAAACCAACATGAGAGGGATTTGAAAAAGGACCCCTCACATTGAACTGTCTCACGATTCCACCTACCAGACAAACAACCACGATCATAACGATGACACTAAAATCTATTCTTAGTCCTAAGCTAACACATAATTAGAGTAATTAACTAAATAAAAATTCTTTTAAAGACCTTTAATTAAATTTTGTTTCAAAGACATACTACATTAATATATTCATTAATATTAAATACAAAATATTAATATACAGTAATCTTAAGCAATCTTAGGTAAAAACTGCACATTACCAGAGTGTTCATGTGTACCATTAGATTACATTTAAAAAAAAGGTGTGTTTGCTAGTAAAATAAAAACGAATTGTAAAATACGTAACAATATTAAAGTAACTCAAGTCTACAACATAGATTGATATTCTTGTGACTTGCCTGATGATGACCTAGGAAAGGTCAAAATATACATAATGCATAATAAACATATGTTGATACATTACTATCTGTTTTGTCTTCATTCTGTAGATATAGTTGTTATGTGGATGACCACATTTACTATACTTGTACAGTTGTTATTGACATCGCAGTCATCACGGAGACTGGGATGGTGACCTGAGGCGCAGTCACCATCTTGTCATGAGCATCATAATCTGGTCTGCTGAGGAGCAAGTGAATACTGTAGAGGCTAAGCTGTGCACTCACGTGACTGAAGTTTATTTCCTTATTTCTGTTACATGTTAAGAAAACCTTGACATGATTCAATCATACAATCCAATCTTCAGATTAAAGGAAACTTTATAATACATACCTATGAAATAAAGAATTAAAATTACATGAATCATACATTCCCTATGAAATGTTAAAAAAGTAATAATTTATTGATACACATCGTAGTAAGGGATAGAGTGACAGGCTAGGAGCCGGACAGCCAAGATTTCGAATTTCGAGTCCCGGTAGAGGCAAGATTCTTCTCCCTTCCATACTGTCCAGATGGGTCCAGGAGCCGTTTAATTGCGCTTTCAGAAGAGAGGCGACATGCAGTTCCTCTTCTGCGGCCTCTCTATACGTTCCCATGTGTTGAACTTCGACTATTAAAGGGCCTCCATTTTGCGATATTGTCGTAGTGTTCTCTTACAACGTTTAATTGGTCTTCCAGTCGAGCAACATCGTCGAGGTCCTCCTCTGTGGATTCTGTATCCGTTCCTGTGTGTTGTAATTCGAGAATAAAGGAATCTATATCTTTTCCGATGTTGTCGTAGTGTTCTCTTACAACATTTAATTGCTGTCCCTGTTGAGCAGCTACGTAACGCTGCGCACGGAGATCATCTAACACTAGTTTCACGTGGTTCCTTTCCTTTCTCACGGCCTCTCTGTCCGCTGCTGTGCGTTGCGCTTTTAATATGAAAGCATTTCTTTCTTTCTTTATATTTTCGAACTGATGTTTAACAGTCTGTAATTGCTGTTCCAGTACCGCATTATTTTTGCACTGAGCGCGAAGCTTTTCTATTTCAAGTTTTAAGGTGTGTATATCCTCGGTCATGGCCTTTCTATTGCCTGCTGCCCTTTGGGCTTGTAATTTCAAATGGTCTCCCTCTCTTTTCATGTTGTCACAAAGGCGTTTTGCTGTGTTTAATTGCTCTTGCAGCAGATCTGTCTCCTTAATCTTGGCTTTGAGATTTTCTGTTTCACATTTAAGGGCGTCGCTCTCAACTTTCATAGTCTCTCTACTCTCTGCTAATTGCTGAGCTCTAAGCACAAAAGCGATTCTCTCTTTCTGGACATTTTCCCATTGCTGTTGTGCAGTGTTTAGTTGATTTTGCAGCAGAGCATACTGCTTACACTGGACTCGCAGTTCTTCTGCTTCAACTTTTAGGGTCTCCATAACCTTCGACATAGCCTCAAAATTCGCTCCTGAGCGTCGGGATTTCAATTCGAAAGCTTCTCTGTCTTTTGCGATGTAGTCAGACTGCACTCTTTCTTTGTTTAATTGCCCTTCCAGCAGGGCAGAATTCTCATGCTGGGTTTCGAGATTGTTTATTTCAAGTTCTATGGTGTCTCTGTCCATCTTTATGATGTCTCTATTCTCTGCCATAATTCTGACTTCTGACAATAAATGGTTTCTTTCTTGTGTCATGTTTTTGTACTTTTGCTTTAGATCATTTAGCTCATTTGCCAGTGTACCACATTCTTTATATTGGGCTAGGTGCTTCTCTGCTTCAAATCTCAGCTCGTCTTCGTCTTCCATGAATTTGCTGACATATTTTTCTAGTTCCCAAGCATCCCTACGTGGGTCTCGAAGTTCTAGTTTCTGGGAGTCGCACTCCGACTTCATGGTCTCTGTTTCGCCTGCCATGTGCTTTTGAGTATCACGGAATGACGATCTTCTGTCTTGAGCCATTCTACTTTCTACGATATTGTCCACGTCCTCTTCACCTTAGGAGGGAGCGCCTGAGTATCGCGAATCCTCGTTCTTATTTCGAAGCACAACTCCTTGTATGCGCTGTATATATTCGCCCTGTAAATAATTTCACAACGCACATCAGCGGCCTGCGAAGACTGGAATTACCTTATGATTAAAAGCCATGAATTGTCCCTCAAAATGTAAAGCAGTACCTCTGGGTCGGACACCTTACTTTATATGATAATGAATGAAATTAATAAAACAGGATTCGGTCTTGGTGAATGTGTTATCGCGTACTACTCTTAGTGAGTGCCCTGCCTGTGGGTCTATCAGGACAGGTATTCTGAGAAGTTACTTTATTGTTCTTAGTAACTGGCAAAATACATGACAACGTAACGTAAAGAGAACTTATATATTACTTGTGAATTGCGTTGCTGAAAGCAGAATTAAATGTTAAAACATTCTGAACAGCAATTTATATTTGTAATTCTATTCTTAAGTGGTGGAACGGCAACGGAATTAGCACATCTCAGAACGGTAAGATGAACAATAAAGGATGAACTAGAAATTATTTGGAAGGAGGCGGTCGAATAGTGAGCCGGTGAGACTCCTGGAGTTATACGAAGTTTTACGTAAGTTATAACCGTTTAACAAATTCAGTCACCAGTTCAAACCCTTGTCTAGTTACTAACAAGTTACAATATTATAATTTTCATTCCGACCCTCATGCTCTACAGGCAGATAACCCTTGAAGTACATTGTTCCAGGTGAGTTTTCTGAATGAGTGACTACACATGAAATATGCTAAAAAAATACGGCAAGCCGCATACAGCTACTGGACTGTTAATCTGACCAAGGAGACAGACATTCTGAATCGGAAACACATTCTATTCTGTAGACTCTGCATCAAACAAGTACAGTTTTCACTTGTAGACTGAGTTAGTTACGTTTTCTCTGGAGGAAAATGCTTTTACAATAGAGAATTAAAGGTTCTTTAACGTTTTGGCACCTTCACAGTCGTATGTAGGCAGTTCTTTCGGGATTGGAGGGTTACAATAACTACATAAATGGTTGTCCCTGTTCTCAGTTACTCAAGCACCATAACATGAGGATATACGGGACAATGGAAGTACAGCTCCACCATGTTTGACCTCGACGCTAGATGGAGGCGAGCGGTCAACTTCACGCCACACCCCCTTTTCCGAGGGGGAAAAGGGGCCACGGTATCAATTGGGGAGGAGGCTGAGTGGGCCTCTAGCCGGGAATCGAACTCCGGTCGTCGCTATATCTTCTCAGATATTCCAGCTCATCATTATCAAAAAGTGACGTAGATGTCTAGCAGATCACAAGAAAGTTAGAGAATTCTATTTTCAACATACGATGGGAACAAAAGTCGCCAGACAAGTGAACTCTTGAAGTGATGCACCCTTTCAGATATTTTAGGTAACGTTTCTCAATGAGGCAAATAACAGTGAAGGGCATCATCTTCTGGGAAGTAACAGGACATAGTCTGCTGGAAGCCCACTGATATTTCCGGAGAGCATATTGGTCCCTTCAAGGTTGAGGAGCAAGGGCAGGAGGAGAGCAAACCGAAAAAAAAAAAAAAGTGTTTCGTTGAAGAAGGGAATATACACGTTCGGCTTATGGATTGGTTACATTTGGTTACAGTTACTAAATGCAAAATATTATTAACTTAATTTCTGCGTAAGAAATTAGGACCAAAATCGAAAACACTTTTCAGTATTTTGTGGATGTTAAATGTGAGGAAAGAAGTCTGTAGAATTTATTGTTTCGGTAAGGTATGAAAGAGCTGCAGCACACTGCTACCATGGAATTACGCCTCCCCCTTCCGCCCCAAAGCGAATGTTGTCTAACCCGTACCAAAACTTGAAATAAGCCATGCGCGATCCCTGGCGAGAGAGGCAACTACTATAACCCCAGGGGCAAATAAATCTATCAGACGATCCCCTGCTAAGGTGGGAAACCCATCCCACATCCCCAGACGGCGACGAAGAGTGAACACTTGTAACATAAATGCACGTACATGTGACAAGGGACCAATCAGAAGTCCAAGACCAATATAAAGAACTTATTTAATTCC